GTGCCAAGTGAAATCACATATCCTTAAAACCACTTACAAATTTAATTGTTATCCGATTTTAAGGGTAAACAAATATAATCCACAAGTCAAATTAATCAGCTAACTTTAATTTTGCCCAATTACGGGGATACCAATTATGGAGGGAGCAGTACAATTATCTTCACTGAAATGCGAGTTATAGCTTCTTTTTAAGTTGTATCCTTTTTTTAGGTAGCACTTGATTATTAATACGCTTATTTATTAACTCAATCCATTTTAATCCATTCAAATTCGATCCATCTAAAAAGTTGTGTTGATTAGTGCTAAACGTGCGGTCCAAATTGACCCATGAAAATAAATCTATTACTAGTATTTTTGGTAATTAAACAAATATAAGTAACAAACAAACAAATTAAAATTTAGTACCTATTATTTAATTCATTTTGACCCAGTTCATCTCCAACCAAGTAACCTTTTACCCGCCCATTTTGACCCCTCCGAATTCAATTGAACCTACCCATTTGACACCCATTTATGCCTAATTTGTGGAATCTAAAGTAATCCCACTTTTAGCTAGCTAAGCCTAAACCCAAGATTATTCATTAGACAATGCAATAATGCTAGGATGTTCAGGCAGTTCGGATTGAATATGAAAATTTTGATTTGGATATTCGATTTTCGGATAAAATAAATGACAATCCAAATCCAATCCAAATAAGCTCGGATTGGATCAGATTTTTTAAGTTCGATTTTGGATTAATCGATTTGGATATTTCGGATTTTCGGTTTTAAGGCTATAAATTTAGAGGTTTCTTCTTCTTTAAAATAAACACCTAAATAAAGTATTCATGTTAAATTACCTAAAAAATTCTTGTTTCTCACTGCATTCATCCAAATAAAGTATTCAAGTAATGAAATCATTATAAAAAAAATACAATATAGACATTAATAAGGTCGACAGAAAGTAGCAATAGTAAAACTATGTCCAAATGAAAAGTATTTCAATAGTAACTTAGTAATTAGTATTGAATATATGAGATAATGTCTAATGGGTAGGGGATTGGACTTATTACTATTGACACATGGATAATGGACTAAAAATAAAATATAAAAATCTCAGATTTTCGGATATCCACAAATCTGAAGAACCAAATTCAATATCCAAAATGTTTAAAAACTAAACCGAAATTCAATCCATAATCCGAAAATTCAAACCAAAAATTCAAAAAATTCGAATTTCGGTTTGGATATCGGGTTTGCCCAAACTGTGACCACCTCTAAATGCTATTACTATTAATTAGTTTAGAGTAAATTTTATTGATGGTCATTCAACTTTGTGTTCGTTACCCAAAAGTCACTTTTCCTTTTTTTGTTGCGTAAAAATCATTCAACTTTGTGTTCATTACTCAAAAGTCATTTTTCTTTCTTTTGTTACACAAAATTATTTTACTTTGCTCTAATTATCACAAAAGTCACCTTGGCAAGATTTTATAATATTTTTACTTGAAAAGTCTATTATACCCTTGATATTATATAAATTCTCCTATTTATGTAATACCTTATATATTATATACTATATAATATATTTTTACCTAGGTATTTTATTTATAATTAAAATAACTTAATATTATTTTATTTATTATTTTTATATTATATTCGTACATTTAATTTTTTCTTAACGTTAATTTTCAAGATATATTGGTAGCGTTATTAAATTTGTCAGTAACTTTACTATGAACAAATCTCAAGTCAACGTTCTTAACTATGCCTAATGAAATATTTTTAATATGAATTATAAAATCAACGCTCATAGATTTATCAGTCAAGCCATATTCGTTAATTCAATAAATAAACTACCCACATTTAGTAAACTCACACATCATATTAACACTTTCAAATAAGTAATATCAACAGATAAAGCTTAAAATTTAATATTAAAGTCAAATACCTTTTTTAAGAACTTAAAAGTTTTACTGACTATAAAAATAATATAATATTATTTTAATTATAAATAAAATACTTAGATAAAAATATACTATATAATATATAATTTAAAATGTATTACATAAATGGGAGGATTTATAATGTCAAGGGCATAATAGACTTTTCAGGTGAAAGTTTTATAAAATCTTGTCAAAGTAATTATCATGATAAGTGGAGCATAGTGAAATGATTTTTGTGTAACAAAACAAAGAAAAGTAAATTTTAGGTAATGAACGCAAAGTTGAATGACTTTTATGTAACAAGAAAAAGAAAAGTGACTTTTGCGCAATGAACCCAAAGCTAAATGATCATCCATGAAATTTACTCAATGCAAATTGACGACTTCTATATCTGGGGTTCGAAATATGAGATTAGTAAATCTTCACTAGTTTGATCCCATAGATTACTATTTCTGGGGATCCTCTGGAAGAGATTATGTTAATATTCTTCATAATTAACTAAATATCTACCAAGAAATCCAAGTTTACGAAAAAATAGACTGGTTTTTTATCATAACTTCCAACCAAGAGGTTGTGAGTTCGAGTTACCTCAAGAGCAAGGTGGAGAGATCTTGGGGGAGGGAACCGAGGGTTTATCAGAAACAGTCTCTCTATCCCATGGTAGGGGTAAAATCTGCATACACACTACCCTCTTAGACCCCACTAATGGAATTATACTGGGTTGTTGTTGTTTGCTTTTTATCATGACTCATGACTCATCAGGCAGAAAAGACATGGAAACCTTTCAAGCTAGCAACCAAATCATCTTCGTTGGATTAATACAGACAACATCAAGATTCTGGTGAAGATTGGAGATTGACGTACTAATACCTAGTTTAGAATATTTTTACACTTCACTTCTCTTGTGATTCTGTATGTATCACTATCTACGGCTTTTTTATTTTTGGTTGTAAAATCATAATGTATAACGTTATATTAACGTGGTATATTTTTTCCATCCATTCAATTTAGAAACAAAAGAAAAAACCAAAGAACTGAAACATAAACAAAAAAAAATTGATAGTGACGATGAAGAAAAGCATTTTGCTCAGTTTTTCGATTTTCACCTTTTCCCATTTGTATGTTTTTCTATTGTTGGTTTAACTGGGAAAGTAAAATAGCTCCGACGTTTTAAATTGCAATAACAATGTACACTTTTATAGAATCTTTTTTTTTTCTATTCAAGTTGTAACAATTGTCATAAAATATTAAGTTAATGGTTTTAAAGAACTTGATCTACAGAATTTAAATGGGAAGCGCAAAAACACTCTGAGATAATAAAACGCTGAAACCGGATATCTGTAATTTTTTGTTTTAATTTCATACCGTTAAACAAACTTTAGTTTATTATGCTAGTGCATTGATCTTCATGTTTTTGCCACGTAAGCAGAGAATAAGAGAATAGTAATTCTTTTTTTTTTTTTGAAAAAAGAAGCTCTACATGATGTCAATTGTCTTCCTTTGAATTTTGATGGATGAAAAGTCCATATCTTCCTAGATATTTTGCTCAAAATGTGGACAAATATAGTAAAAGTTCCTTATGAGTTAACTAAGAAATTAAACTAAAATAAAAAGGGTTTGTGGAGGTAGGTCAGGACTTTATTTTAATTTGTCTGTGAAGAGAAGAATATGGAGAAGGGATTGATGAATATTCCATTTCCTATATAAATGTAACACTTTTAATTTCCAAACCTAGTTTCCCATTTATTGAAAGGCAAAACAAGGGGAAATCGAAAGACTAAATAAATGTCGTACATCTTATAGCATATTTTATAAAAAAAACAGAAAAAGTAGCAAAGACTTAATTCATTGGGGATTTATTTATGTTACTTATTCAAACAATCAATTGCCTATATTCCTTGCAAACAAGATTAAACAAGTGAACAACCCCACATCCAATATTTTATGAGAGATTGCAACTAATTTAAGTGTTCTATAAATATCTAATCAAGAAATGGTACACACTTGATAGCTAGCTATAGGTCGATAAGGATAAACCAGTCAAACCTCTCTATAACAGTCTCGTTTGTTCCAAATATTTTGAATGTTATAACGAATTGCTGTTATAGAAAACATATATTATAACTGAATATGAAATTTGGTTTCAAATATCAGATAATTTTATCTACCAACGCTTAGTTTGATATGAAGAAATCACTTTATATTTTTTATTTATGCTACAGTTTGGATCTTTGTTTTCGTATTTTTCACTCACTTCATTGATCACTACGTCAGAGTATCATCAACTCCTCTTAGTGAGATTTAAACCTTACACCTAACTAGTGTTGAATAAATGAGAATCTTCAATCTCTAACTTTTAAGTTTAGAATCAAGTCATTTTTTTCTTTTTAAATGATCTTTGGGACATAGGATTGAGTAAATCATGTGATATGCTTGGAACAAAATAAATTAATATAAATAGGTAAAATTAAAAATAAGATAGTGTAGTGGGTTCATGTCCCAGGCTACCACTTGAGAAGCTGGCAACGTGAAAGGCAAATTTTAGTGCAAGCTACATCCAGAGAAGCAGAACTGTATTCCAATAATGGAATCAGATGCTCAGCAGAAACACTCTTATGGAAAACCTTTTACAATATTTGTCATGAAAACTAAGTCTAAAATGTTTCCATCTTTTTTGTTTTAATTTTTTTTTTATTTTTTTAAAAAGAACAGAGATTCAAGATTGGTGAGTTAATGGGAATGCCTAATTTCTGTTATCCAAAATTTCAGTTTCCATTTTTTTTTTTTTTTTTTTTATGAAAGGTAACTCAGTCTCTTTCATTGAACAGTATACAGACACACATTTTGACCGTGTTTTGGCACACCAACATTTAAGGACATAATACAATAATTACCAGGCAATAATGAAATAGCTAAATGGTTTAACTTTTCAATTAGCCAGTCATGAAAAGAAAAGATAAAGCAGTCAGCCATTTAATATTACCTAATTCATTAGTACTATACTATATTTCTATAAGAGTACACTGTTGTAGCAAGAAACCTTGCTTCATGCAAGTTGAAAGTTGAAACCTTTGTGAGACAATGAAGCAACTTTTGTCTAGTTTAATTTTTGGTGGACCAATTCTTCAATGGCATTTGATGTGGACAAAACTTCCCAATCAACAAAAGACCGTACACTATAAAACTTTTTTCAAGAATAAATAATGACAGAACGTAGCTCCCATTTTCTATTAAGGAAACCTGTTTTAGTTTCTCTACTTCTCAGAGGCATAGACAGCAGCATGTTTATTCTATGATCAACCAAACAGTTCACAAGATCCTCCCCACTTGTATTTTCTAGGTTGCCCACCTCCATACATCCCTACATAAAATCAAAGTCATTTGCTAGAGTTCTTTGTGCAGTATAGGGGAATGAAGAATGATTCCTTACTATCAAACTTCATGTTCAAGCAATGGCTCAATAACAGAACAAGAAAATCCAACTTCTTTAGATTCACAGCCAAGTTTTCATTCAGTTCCTTCAGCCATATCACTATCTCATGATCAGAGTTCATCTCTTAGTCTTGGCACTCACCACCAATGCATAGCTACTCTTAAGGGACAGAATTCCTATACATCTTCCCTTGTACTTGCTGGGAAATTCCTTTTAACTGGCTCTTCTGATAAAGAAATTTGTATGTGGAAGCAAAAAACTCTAACTTCCACAATAGATGGTATAGTTGACACAGTTATAGCAGGGAAAGGTGCAGTGAAGTCCCTAGTAATTTTGGCTGATAAGGTCTTTAGTGCTCATCAAGATCACAAAATCCGAGCATGGAGAATAGAAAACCATAATTCAGATGCCCCTAATATTGTTCATATATCCACTCTCCCTTTACTTAGTGACAGAGCCCTGAAATTTATGATACCAAAAAACCATGTTCAAATCAGGCGTCACAAGAAATCTACATGGGTGCATCATGTTGACACAGTCTCAGCACTAGCCCTTTCGAACGATGAGTTGTTCCTCTACTCTGTTTCATGGGATCGAACACTTAAAATTTGGCAAACCACTGATTTTAAATGCTTGGAATCTATAGCAAATGCACATGATGACGCGATCAACGCTCTAGCAATATCACAAGAGGGGGATGTTTTTACAGGATCAGCTGATACGAAAATCAAGATTTGGAGAAAGGGCTTTGAAGAGAAAAAGCATTCACTGGTTTGTACACTAGAAAAACACAAATCTGGTGTAAATGCACTTGCAGTTGGGGAAAGCACTCATTCTGTTTTATATTCGGGTGCTTGTGATAAGTCAATATTAGTATGGGAGAAGAATGAAGGTGGCGACATGGTGTTGGTGGGTGCACTCAGGGGCCATAAAAAATCCATATTGTGTCTGGCTGTAGTGGCAGATTTGGTGTGCAGTGGTTCAGCTGATAAAACAGTGAGAGTGTGGAGAGGGATTGAGAGATGCTACACTTGTATTGCTGTTATTCAAGGACACAATGGACCAGTGAAGTGCCTGACTGTAACTAGTGATCAACAAATTCAATCTGATACAACCTCTTCTTATGTCCTCTATACTGCTAGTTTAGATGGTGAAACCAAGGTTTGGAAGATTTTTGTTCCAATTCTATAGAGGTTTTAATTCTCACTGTCGTTTGCCCCTTCTCTAAAGCAGTTGAAACACTCAATGATTCATCTCCTTGATCTTTCTCCTTTGTTCCAGACTTCCAGTGAGGGGCAAGATGCATAGTATTTGTTGGCTGATAGATTTCTCTGATGAACATGCACATGCACACGCTCCAGATTTGCCAGTTAAATAATTCTGTAAATTTTGTTCTGCACTTTAGATTGTTGGCAAATGACCAAACGAAGAAAATATCTACAAGATTTTACCTTTTTCTTCTAGTTGGTTCGCAGTGCAAGTTTATTCAATTGAAAAGGCTACCACTATGAAATGCTTATGCTTCCTAAACTGAACCCACTTAGGTTGATCTTCTCTATAAAGTAATCCCCCCCGAGTTTAAGTCCTATATTTTGTGATCTTTTCTTTTTATCTGTGAACCCAATTAAGCTTCACGAACTTGGCCTATTACAAACCGGAAATTCATCCTGTTTAACATTCTTTCGCACAGTTTACCTAGCACTAGCAGGGAACTGAGGGTAAAACTAAAGTCTACATATCCTAGTAAGATATAGTGCCGAAAGTTGGACAAAAGAGATCCTTTGGAATAAAGTAATGGTCCCTCCCTGCCTAATCACTTTTCTTTTTGGCCTAAATCTGCCGATGATTACCTTAGTATTAACTAGGAGTGTTAAGCTACCTGAGGAATTTTAGAATTTCGAGAGAGACCAAAGGTACATGGACCGTGCTATTTTAATAGGGTTTAATCAAATGTACGGCATAGACAGAGATATTCACGATTATGCTTTGACGTATCCAAACTAAAACGTGGCAAAACCTTGTATTAAGAAGTCTTTGGAACTCATTGAAACTCCCTCCCTCATTTCAATCCCCTCTTCCGTTTCCCTTAAACTACACGGCTGGTTAGGTAAAAAGCATTTTACCACAGTTTCAACCTTAATTATCTAATTGATGGGACATCCACAATCTTGCACTTCTTTCCGTTGCTGCTTAAAGAACCTATCTGCACAACCGTCAATCCCTATTTCAACCTACCTAGGATTGTATTCAGGAACAAACCATAAATTTTCTTCAGAGGCAACAAACAATTACCTATAGATAAAATTCTTAGTAAAGGACGGGCTAGTTTTCTTAATACAAGTTGGAAAGAATGTTGGGTAAAATTCATATAATGCTAACAATATCCAATCACAGTTTCGCATGCTCCACTAGGTGATGCAACCAAAATTCTAACAAGGTACACAGATCATATCCTTAGCCACGGTAGCACAATCCCGAATGATAAGTTATATGTCTTTTTGTATTTTGATGATCTAACAAACTTTATGATAAGAATCAGATCGGGAATCTGTTACACATACTCAACGTGTTCAAGAACAACAAATCTTTAAGTCTGCCACAAGTGCAAACAACTAGAGTCAAAGAGACGATAGAGGGAACAGATGGACATCAGTTCCCTTGCTGACAGTACAAGTCAATTCTCCACAACTGTAAAGTCGCTTACATTGTTTTCTCTGCACACGCGCAACAGTGCAAACAATGCAGTTGTCACTTTATGAAGCATGCCTTCTACTAGATAATTGCTTGCATCATCCAATTGACATCACTTGTATATTATCAACACGAAGCAAGAGGAAAACACACTTGAATAAGTCAAAAACGATTAGGCTTCTCTCTCAAGTGTGCTGCCATCTTGGAAGTAACTTCAAGAACGAAGAACAACTGAACAAAGGACCAGTTTCCAGCATTGTGTTATCATATGTCCTTATTGTGTTGTACCTTTATTAGAGTGATCTATTTGTAATTCCTACTTAGCTTAGCTAGAAGTATTATGTAGGAAACCATTTGTAAAATCATAAACCTTGTATTTGTATCTTGACTAGAATTAGTCGAGTAATGAGCTTTGTAATAGAGTTATTACAAGTGAGTGAGGAATTAAGAATTTAATTCTTAGGTTACAATAGTTTGTAGTCTGAAGTTTGCTCTGTAGTGAAATTGAAATCCTACGAGTGTAAGTCGTGGCCCGTGAGCTGAGAGTTTTCCACGTTAAACTCTGTTGTGTCATTTATTTATCTCTAATTGTGTTATATAGGAACTTTCTCTATACCGTTTAATGGACCTAAGTTTACATCAATTGGTATTAAGCTGAGACTTATTCAATTCTTCACACAATTACCGCAGTCACATGGATAAGGTAACCTACTGTGAAATATTCTGAATCCTGAGCAAATTAAACTGAAGCTATCTGCTTACACCACCAAAGAAAAAGCAGCAACGTTGTATGACATATTGAATCACCAACTGGAACGTGGCTGCCAATAAAGCCTTTGTTAGGCAAGACAATGATATTAACAGAAGTTGTAAATTCAAAACCGCAAGAAGACAAAATAATAAAAATAACTGTGGGGTTATAATATACATCTTAATGGATAGAAATGAAGCGAAATCTGTGTGAGGTAAGCAAAAAGTCAAGGGAACTAATAGTGTTGTTTCCAGCCATCTTTGATTACAGTGTTTCTGCTTCTAAACTCGAGAGAAAGGATACTGAAATACAAATTTCCCTCTATCATACATTAGCTGTACAATAGGGAGATAAGGAGATATGGCTGTTTCTCTCAAAGTGGAACCTTTGCTGGAGTTCCTGGATCTCGAGGATATTTCTTGGGGGTAGGTTTATCTTTCAAACAAATTATTGCAGTTCTCTGTCCATGTTTACTGTGGGAATCAACTGTATTACAAAATAAACAACCAAATGAACGAAGTGAAGGCCAAAAATGAGAGGACAATTTAAAATGTAACTACCATCTGGAGACCTACTCAAAGCAAGTTAACCTAGGTCAATCAAGTGTAAGAGCAGGACCAAACATACTGTGGAAAAACAGCAAGATATCTGATGTCTTCACTTTCAAAGTTAAAATTAAGAAGATGTGTAATACTGCTTATAATTGATCCTTCAGGCTGAGGAAGGCCTGGACTTTTAAAAAAAAAATTCTCAGAAACAGGAAGATGCGGATCTGGAATCCCAAAAATCACAGGAAGTCAGAAATAATTCACTTTCTTTCAACAGAAATTCATCTGCCATTATCAAGGTCTTATAATTCTTTTAAGAAGATTGTTTTATCACATAATTACATGATAATTCACAAATCTTTGAACCAGTGAAAAGTGCAAACTACTGCCACATCCTTATGTAACTACTATGTAAAGACGTCAAAGAGAATAATACCACACCGAATTTCCAATAGAGAGGCTCCCATCAGTTGTATTGCTCTCTCTGCACTTTGTACTTCCTCCTGTCAATGAGTTTGAAAGTTGAGAGCGGCTATTGCAATTATATGTCAATAGTTTCTCTTCTCCGATCTTATGCAAATCATCTTACATCCGACAAATTTATATCGGGTTACACAAATTTATATCGGGTTACTTTTATTCAATGATACTCATATTGCATTTTCAGTAGATTGCAACCGCAAATCCGCTCTAGGTTTTAAGGAAAAAAAATATTTTTTTATCCCTCGAGCGTAGTGTTATGCATTTTGGTAGATTGAGCATTTATTCTTGCCTATTTGGAGGCCAAAACTGGACTTAAGATAAGTGAAATATAGCGTGTACTGAAAATTTTGTTCAGCATATAATGCATGATATGATATATCGATTTGTAAATTAACCAAACAATCAACAGGTTCGACATATTAGGAATGGATGTCTTCTGATGGACTTAAAGGTCTCTAAATTTCTGGACTTGCTAACAGAAGTGTGTTGTGTTAGGGACCAACACCAGTTGAACTCTAATGAATATAGACTCTGATATTTGACATGCACACACAGAACTACCAATTAGTAGAACAAGAAAGAAAGATAGAAACTACAGGAGCACCCACAAGATAGAATGTGTTTGATGAAAGTAGAATATGTGCCAAAAAAGTACTCTCTTATCCTAGGATTCTCCAAATAAAGCCAAATTCTTTATACCGCAATCCATCATGTCTACCATCTGAAACCTCTCCTCTAGACCTTAGATTCGTAGCTATGATAATCTTACGACTCAGAACTGACAAGTGGGGATAATTGCTTCCCATTCTAAGTAATTCTAAGAGTAGTGGAGTAATAACAACACATTATTTAACTACAGCAGAAAGGCTAAGCCTTCTGCTCATATTCTCAGGCAAAGTAGCTTAAAATACTATTATGCATCATAAGAGAGACAGACCTGAGGATCATGACCTTTTGCAGCTACAAAGATACCACCAGTCCGGACTAGAGGAAGGCAATACTCAGCTGCAAAATGGCATAAACACATAACCATCTCAAGGAATATTAAAGAACATAAAACACAAAGGAAGAAAGAAAACTTGTCTCTGTTTACCTAAAATTCTCATTTCTGCAACTGCTCTAGCAACTGCAACATCAAAAGACTCTCTGAAGCTGATGTCTTGTCCTAACTTCTGTCCTATTCCAATGTTCAGAATGTGCATCATGTCCACAAATTAAGTGAATATCTTTAAACTGTACTACCAGAAGAAATTCAAAAAGATGATACTAGTATATCTTAGGAGGAACAACAGGTATCAAATTGCAGAAATTTTAATTTGTTATGCATCACAGAGTAAAACATCAAATAAGGGCATGCATTACTAGCAGAAAGAGCATGAACGTAAAACTTCCCTCCAGAGACATTGATATAATAAGTATTGTACACAAGGAGATAAAAACATCAGAAATTCTCACTAGACAACGGAACATATGCGACTGCACAAAAGAATGGACTCTAGATTGATTATTTTGGCATAAGGAGGCACGCAGAAAATCTTCAATTATACCACAATTCAGCCTATCGTACTGTGCACGGCCTAATTTAAGGAGAGCTGTTATCAATTTAGTTCATCTGAGATCCCAGCTCCTAACAGCTTGTTTGGATTGTTGTTACATGTCGTTTCATAATGTATCGTATTGCATTGCATTGTATTGTATTGTATTGTATTGTTTAATTTCGTCATTACGTAACGATGGATTTAACGATACGATATGATACAATAAAATTTAAATAACAATCAAAACAAACATTGTATTTAAAGTAACAATACGATACAATACAATAGGTAACAACCATCCAAAACAAGTTGTAAAGAGCAAGAACAGAAAAATTGATTTGGTAAACTTGATAGTCACCGGAAGAATAAATCATACATTACTTCTCTAAAGTTTAACCACTCAGATAAGCTACAGTATTAAGGAAGCTAAGTGATGGATCACTAGCTCCTACTGTGTTGTACAAGAAAAATAATCAGGGAAAATAGGAAATACTCAAATTTGTCAAAGATAATATATTTCCGGTACTTTTTAAAACATATTTTTAAAGAGAAACTAGAGGTTGGGGTTGAAGAACGTAAAAATTAAACCAAGCCCATGGAACTTAACTCTCATCTGGTTTCAGGAAAACAAAATAAATGTGACCTTGGTAGAATGTATAAGGCTTACTTTGCAGCAATGCCACTCCATATTCAATATGGACCAAAACATCTTACACATTGACTAAAGGAAGAATTTTTTTTGACTAAAAGAATAACTAAAAAGACATGCAAAATCAGACTAGAGTTTGACTAACCTCAGCTCTTTCTCTTTTAACTCGAACATTTGATAGACCTATCTGACTTACCACATGCTCCAGGAAGGAACAACGCTTGTTCATAGACTCCAGAAGCGTCACTTTCCAACCTGCATAGACAACTTCATTGAGCTACCATACTGAAGTTCAACAACGATAAAAAAAGAAAATTAGAGAGAAAAATATGGCAAGAATAGAATGAGATGAATTTAAAAAGGTAAACCTTAACATTTAGAGAGAGACTATATGTAACTCAATCTCTTAACAAACTACTCAAGCAATAAGAGCTGCTCATTCCATTTAAAAATGAAATTTCACATTTTTTATTTCTCCATTTGATGATCAACTCTTTTACTTTCCTTTGTTTCTTGTTTAGTACCAAAGAAGTAAATATAAGAAATGCAACACATTCTACAAAGGCAATTTTTAAATCTTATTTTCTTTATCTTTTTTTAAATATTTTGAGATGTTGTTCCTTGAGCGTTGTGAAGAAAAAATGCGAATAGTTACCAGGGCAAGCAATGGCCAAAATTACTCCAGGAAGCCCCGCACCACTTCCAACATCGACGAGATTGAGATTCTCTGATGAAGCTCCACAATGTGAGAGATACGAAGTCCGAATTGGATCTATTATTGAAAGCGAGTCTTCAACATGCCTTTCCATGACCTCACTCTCCTCCCTTACGGCAGTCAGATTCATTCTCTGCTAGAAAAAAAAAGATTCTCTAAATACATATAATTTGGTAAGTACAAAGCTTACATTAACAGAAATAGAATAGGGGGAACCTGGTTCCATTCGAGGAGGGAATCGATGTAGAGATGAACTTGTTCTTTTTGACGGGAGTTTAGAGCTTCAAAACGGGAGGAGCTGAAGACGTTTGCGCTAGCGGCGGTAGTAAATGATTTTGTGCTCAGTGAAAGCTTTGAGCATTTTGAAGTTGCAAGGTGTTTGATGAAAGTCCCAAAAGAGAATGGGATTGGCGCCAATACATTGAACCTATGGCCTCCGCAAAGTAACATCTTCGCGCGCTCACTTGGAGGTGGCCGGATCAGGAGCGATTTCAAGTTGAGTTATTCCATTGGGCCTGTATACTAACGGCCTTGACTTTAAAGCCCAGATCTGAAATTGGGGAAAGGACCACTGCCTCCCCCCTCCAAATCTCATTTTAAAAGTTGAGGAATTTTCATAAGAGGAAACTACGCTATATACCCACGAAAATCAAAATATTTACCCGCTTTTACCCATTTTGAAAATATTTACAATATTCACCTACCCCACCCATATTAATTACCCGACCTACCTATCATTTTTCCTCTATAATTTTATAGTTAAAGCTGACTTATATGTTCCCCTATTTTTCTCCCCATTTTCTCTTTCTTCCTTTTACGACATCAATTCATTTTCTCTTCATATTCTTCCAACAATAGCAATTCCTTTTATTATTAAATTCTCTCTTCCATATATCGTTGCTATGAAAATAAAGTAGGAAAAAGTTTTCGGTGAGTCTCTATCCATTATTCAATAGAGCAATACTACAAAGTAGTGGATCTAATTTCAGATCTGAAGAAAAAAATTGGAACTTTATGTGTATGAGTTCAAATTTTTAGCTCTGAATTTTTGGTGTGTGTTTGAAATATTTTATTATTGAAATTCATTTGGTGTTGTTCTTTGACATTTGGATTATAGTGTTTATACTTGTTTTCACATATTTGTTATTGAAAGGGTCAAATTCACAATTGAAGGACCTTGATGGTTGAAACTCATAAATTGGGTTTGTTGATTTTGTAGTTGTTTTGATCCAATTTTGCCTGGATTTATTTATAACACTATACTATAATATAATATTATAGTATATAGTATAATATAATAGTATAATGTTGAATGAAGAACACAAGATATTATTTTGTTATATTGTAAAATTATATACCCTATTGGTATAATTATATGTTATATTGGTATCATATGGTAGTTGGAATATTTTTTGGTTGTTTTAGCTGCATTTTTAAGTGAATTCTATTATAAAATAATTTATATGATCATGTTTTATTGTGTTGGATTTTCTTGTACCTATGAACATAGATTTTGTGTATTATGTAATAGTTTTTATAGTTATATGCAGTTGTTGGAATGACCCTTACAACTATATACCCTATTAGTATAGCTATATACTAAATTGGTATCATATGCTAGTTGAATCATGTTATGGTTGTATTAGCTGCATTTGATTGGTATACTATTTAATTTTTTAATAATAGTAATATAGTACAATATCTTGACATACTTTATTATATTAATATGTGGTACACTAGTTTTTTATTTTTCTCTTTATGCATGTGTGTTGTGTAATAGTAGTATAGTCATATAGTTACCGGAAATTAACAAGTAAAACTGTATACCATGTTGGTATAGTAATATGCCGTATTGGTATCATATGGTAGTTTGAATATTTTTTTGGTTGTTTTAGCTGCATTTTTAAGTGAATTCTATTCTGAAATGATTTATATGATTATGTTTTACTGTGTTGGATTTTTTTGTATCTATGGACATAGATTTTGTGTATTATGTAATAGTTTTTATAGTTATATGCAATTGTTGGAACGACCCCGTACAACTATATACCCTATTAGTATAGTTATATACTATATTGGTATCATATGCTAGTTGAATCATTTTTTAGTTGTATTAGCTGCATTTAATTGGTACACTTGTCACGGCCCGAAATTCCCACCTTCGGACGGTGATGGCGCCTAACATTTTACTTGCTAGGCAAGCCAACGTTAGAATAATATTATCCATTTTTAAAATAGTTTTTAAATTATTAATAATCAAAGAAACAAATGCGGAAGCAAAATCTAAAATATAGTGAATAATCCATAAAAAAAAATGGTGTCTAAATACCATCCCAGAATTGGTGTCACAAGTGCACGGGCTTCTAGAATAAATACAAATAAAGGTCTGAATAAAATAAAGATGTCTGAAAACAAACACACATCTAAAGTAAAGTAGACGGGGACTTCAGAACTGCGAACGTCGTGCAATTATACCTCAAGTCTCCTCTGAGTAGCTGAAATCCGAGCAAGTCTATGGTACGTTGTTGGGACCAACTCCAAAATCTGCACAAGAAGTGCAGAGTGTAGTATCAGTACAACCGACCCCATGTACTGGTAAGTGCTGAGCCTAACCTCGACGAAGTAGTGATGAGGCTAAGGCGGGTCACTTATATTACATGTACGCAATATTAGTAACAACAACAATAATAAAAATAAATCAGGTAATTCATTTATAATAATTGAAACCAACTCAACAGTCATAACCAATTATCATTTCCATCAATTCTGTTGCAGCGTGCAACCCGCTCTCACATTATATTCACATTCAATTCTGTTGTAGCGTGCAACCCGCTCTCACAATATATTCGTTTTAATCAAGTCTGTTGCGGCGTGCAACGCCTTTTAATAAGTCTGTTGCGGCGTGCAACCCGATCCTCCAATATGGACTTTTAATAAGTCTGTTGCGGCGTGCAACCCGATCCTCCAATATGGACTTTTTAATAAGTTTGTTGCGGCGTGCAACACGATCCTCCAATATGGACTTTTTAATAAGTCTGTTGTGGCATGCAACCCGATCTTCCAATATGGACTTTTTAATAAGTCTGTTGCGGCGTGCAACTCGATCCTCCAATATGTTCATTTCTATCAATTCTGCTGCGGTGTGCAACTTACTCCTCCAATATATATATTTACCAATTCAATTATGTTGCGGTGTGCAACACGTTCCTCCAATTTTTACTCATTTACCAATTCTTATAGAAGAAATTTCTCCAATAAATGCAACAATTAATGTAAAATTATAAGACAACAAGCATACAATAATTATGATTTAATTATGAAATAAACAATGATAAATAGCTAATTATTAAGGAAATCAGGGAGAAAATAGGCAGTTTAATATTTAATATGCTAAATGTCAAATAACAATTAAGATACATAATTCAAATAGCATGTAACAATTAATGCACGAATTCAAGAATTGATATTTGACAAAGAATAGGAGAGAAACGATTATTATAATAATTAATTCATGATTTAAAACGATTTATGATTTTTCAAGTAATTATGCAAACAATTAATTTGATGACGTATAGACACTCGTCACCTTGCCTATACGTCGTTCACATACATTTCACATAACAAATAGTTTAAGGGTTCTATTCCTTCAAGTCAAGGTTAACCACGACACTTACCTCGCTTTGCAAATTCTAATCAATTACTCAACCACAACTTTTCTTTTTAATTTTGTCTCCAAAAGCTTCAAATCTATTCACAAACAATTCGATATATTCAATACGAATCATAGGAATTAATTCCATATGAATTTACTAATTTTTCAGATAAAATCCGAAATTCATTAAAATATTCGACAGTGGGACCCACATCTCAAATCTCGTAAAAACTTACGAAATTCGAACAATCGTTCCGATACGAGTCCAACCATACAAAATTTATCAAATTCCGATGTCAAATGGACCTTCAAATCTTAAATTTTCGTTTTTGGGAGATTTTATAAAAATTCCAATTTCTTCCATCTAAATCCGAAATAAATGATGAATATAGACTTAGATTTATGAAATACAATCACTATATGATAAAGAACACTTACCCAGTTCGAAATCATGAAAAACTCCTTTGAAATCACCCCTAAACCGAGTTCTAATTGAGGGTTTGTGAAAAATGGGAAAATCCCGTTTTGGTTATGTTTTAAGTCACATGCATCAGGCCTTCTTCGCGTTCGTGAAGGGCATGTCGTGTTCGCGATGAGTAGCAGTCCGTGGTTTTCGCGTTCGCGAGTCCTCCTTCACGTTCGCGAAGGCTTTTTCCCCCCTAGCCTTTGCGTTCGCGTGCCAGTGCTCGCGCTCGCGTAGAAGAACGACTGAACCCTCGCCCAGGCCTCTAAAGCTTCGCGTTCGCATTGAGCTGGTCGCGTTCGCGAAGGGTAAAGTCCCCATAGCTTCGCGTTCGCGACCCAATCTTCACGTTCGCAAAGACGGAAAATTCAGCCAGCCCAGTTTGCTCTTCGCGTTCGCGAGAGTACATTCGCGAACGCGGTGAAGGAAATACCAGAAGCCTGAAGTTGCAGAAAATCAGATTTTTCTAAGTTCAAAATCATCCCGTATCCTATCGAAACTCACCCGAGCCCTCGGGGCTCCAAACCAAACATGCACACAAGTCCTAAAATATCATACGAATTTGCTCGCACGATCAAATCACCAAAATAACACCTAGAACTACGAATCGGACGCCAAATCAAAGGAAATTTTCAAGAAAACTTTAAAACTTATATTTTTACAACCGAACGTCCGAATCACGTCAAATCAACTCCGATTCTCACCAAATTTGGCAGACAAGTCATAAATATTATTGTGGACTTTTACCGAGCTTCGAAACCAAAATACGAACCCGGGGTCAATAAATCCAACATCAGTAATTTCTTAAAAATCATTAAGCTTTCAAACTTTTAATTTTTCATCAAAATTCCATATCTCGGGCTAGGGACCTCGGAATTCGATTCAGGGCATACGCCCAAGTCCCAAATCACGATACGGACCTACCGGAATTGTCAAAACACTGATCCGGATCCGTTTGCTCAAAATGTTGACCAAAATCATCTTAGTTGAGTTTTAAAGCTCTATTTCACATTTTAATATATTTTTCACATAAAAACTTTCTAAAATATTATACGGAATGTGAACGTAAGTCGAGGAATGATAAATGGTGCTTTCGAGGTCTTAGAACACAAAATAACTTATTAAATTTAAAGATGATATTTTGGGTCATCACATTCTCCACCTCTAAAACAAACGTTCATCCTCGAACGGAGTTAGAAAAAAGTACTTGAGCTGGTGAATAAGTGTGGATATTTACTTCGCATGTCCGACACGGATTCCCAGGTAGATGCCTCTACCGGCTGACCTCTTCATTGCACCCGAACTGAAGGATAACTCTTAGACCTCAACTGTCGAACCTGCCGGGCTAGAATAGCCACCGGCTCTTCCTCGTAAGTCAAATCTTTGTCCAATTGGACTGAGATGAAATCTAACACGTG